AGCATGATGGCAAACCCAAAAAATCTAACCTCCAGGGGGATGACGTCCCAAGGGCTGGTTCCACCACAGAAAAGGCTCTCTTCCTGTGTCCTGTCAGATGACACTCCTTAATGGACCAGACCCATAACATGCCTCTTCTACCAGACCTGATGAGACAGGTAGATATTACCAGGGAGAGGGCAACCTTAAGGCTACCATGGCAGCATGGTTTAATAACAAAAAAACCTCTTTGTCCAGGCTATAATCTAGATTAGGTTCCCAGATTTAGGAGAGTTTTATCTTTAGCTCAATTTAATGCTCTTGCCACAGCTGTTTTTGGAAGGGAAATATAGGGGGGAAAACCTTATGAAATTCAACACTGCCCCTGTGACACGGGTGCTATAGAAACTACAGTCCATGTTCTTTTGTACTGCCAGTTCTATAGGGATATTCGCCACCAGCTGATTACCCCCTTTTTATCTAAATTTCTGGGGCACTCTGATAATTTTTATTTGCATTATTTATTGGATAGCCAGGATCTATTTAAAAGTAGCAAAATTTTGCTACATTATGTGTAAGCTTTGCCCACAAACGGTTGCCAGTAGTCACTGATGTTAGGGGTTAACTTTGCTTGTTTGTTTTACTGAATATATTTTTATGGGTCAGTGACAGAAATAAAGTTTCTGTCTATCTAGATCAGATTTTCTCTGCACCATGGCCCCATCCTTTTTCTTGTATTGAAAAATCTATGTAATGTTAAAGGTAGGAGGAGCAAAGAACCATATTCATTCCATGAGATCTGACTGCGGTTTTATTGGTGCCCCCATATGTCATATTAGGGACCTCAGTGCTAGCTGATAAGAGGCCCTTCTGCAGCACCCGTCTAAGGTTGCTTACAACTTGCAAACACCTGACATTATCCTTATATTCTATTTATTCCTACTTGTAAATATCCAAACCATGGATCCTGTGAGATGAGCTCTGAAGGCTGAGGTTTAGCACCAAATATCAAAAGCAGAAAATAGTTGGGATAAAGTATATGTTGGTGTAATTTTGAAGGATAAAATATCTGTGTATGAAGTGTTGGTCTGTTCAGTTATGCAACAGTGCAGATATAGATTCAGAGTTGTGTTTGGAAATGCTAGAAGAGAGAGAGAGTGCACCCTAGATTGTACAACGGCACAGCAACAGTTTGCAGCCATAAAACATCCGCTGATTCCAAAGGGCAAGGTAAGTATGGAGTGGGGATAACATAAATGATCTTGTTCTTTTGTGAAAAGAAAGAGGATTATTTCATACCAGTGAATATAACAAATAGATGATAGCTAAATAAGGTGCATGGAAATCCAGCAAGTTTATGCATGTAAATGCATTTGAAAGGCTGCACTTGGGTGGAGGAAGCCTCTCCAACTATCACCCAAGAATTCATTTTACTATGGTGGAAGGGGCAGTTGAGAATGGGCAAAGTATTTAGCTTGGGCAATTCTTTTCTGGTTCCAAATGAGAAAGATGAAATGGCCAATGCCTGCCCATCACGGGAGCATATTTGAACTCCACACTGCTGAGACAGCTGTGGATGTAATTTATAGTAGAGAAAAAAGTAGAGAAAGGGTTAAACTTGGCTCCCACCTTTGCTTCTCTGATATCAGTTGCCTTTTTCCACACTGGCCTTCCATGCTTTGCTGACACCAGCAAAACTGTCAAGCTACAGCTACATGAGTTGACTTTCACTAAATTAAAATTAGCTTCATAGTAAAGCATGTGTTAGTCATCTTCAACTCCTGCCTTGGGCTTCCCTGCAATTTATGCTTTGACAGTGACATCAGTCTGATTTCAAGGCTACGGGCCATTCCTACAGCACACGTAACAACTGTTTTCAGCCAACAAAACCCAGCCTGCATTTTCTTTTCCAATGTACTACACATCCGGTCCCCTTTTACTTTGCAGGCAGGGTTGAACCCTCAATGCTATGCATTGTCGAAATGTTGAGGAAAAATGCAGAAGTGGAGATTTGGGAAAGAGATGAACTGAAATTTCCTTCTACCTTTGTTGCTGAACAAGTATTGAGCCTCAGAGTTCCTTTGCAAATCTTAGCCCTCTGCAACCCTTTGTATGTGGAGGAAAGGGAGAGTGAATGAAATGGCCTGAACAGACAGGCTCAGATATGACCGTTTCCTCGGAGACATCAACAGTTTTGTGCTGCCTGGAGTGCAAATAAAAGGAGTCTGTGATGCAGGGGAAAAAAACTCCAGAAATGTTTTTCATTTGCTGCCTTCCACTGCCAGGATCCATTGTTCAAAAAAGAGACAGCTGGCAGAATGGATCCTATATTGACCATGCTCTTGTTTTGTGGGTTTTTTTGATGGTATGTTGGCTATGACTTTGACTGTTGGATTGTCCTTTTCAGCTCACAAGGGGGCTCTTGTTAGCAACGGAGAAGAGTTACATCAAGCCATATGTATAAGCAATCTGACCTACTACAATGTATTCAGATGAAAGTGCAGCTAGGAATATGGTTGCCCATTTGATAGCACGCTTCTTTGGATTTTGAGATGCAGTTATGGGGTTGTGTAAGAAAATGTGGATCTTAGGAAAAGCAGCACACAAAAAGATGTGCATTGGGGTGTATTAGGAAAATATACAGATATTGGTCAGAATAAACTTGTCCCTGAATATAAGTAAAGCTTATAAAATACAGGAATAGATCACTCAATTCTTCATTGCTATCCTTGATGCTGCTATGTTCAGTTGTAAGCAGTTTATTAGTAAAGGAAACAGTGCCAAGGAAAAAGCAACCGGGGGCTCCCCTCATTCCTCTCCTCTCCTCTCCTCTCCTCTCCTCTCCTCTCCCCTTTCCCCTTTCCCCTTTCCCCTTTCCCCTTTCCCCTTTCCCCTTTCCCCTTTCCATCTACTAGGGTCCTGCTCTCATGTCCATGGTATGAAAATATTTATGGAATTTAGAAGTTCAAGATTTTGTAAAAGGCACCATCGAGGGCTCTATATCTTTGGATCAGGAAAACTTAGCCCTTAAGCCTATCCGAATTAGCTTTAATTTTACAGTAGATGTGAGCAAATTGCCCTTCGGTGAGCCTGCCACTTAACAGCTCAGAGAGCGGTGGCATTTGATATCAATATGCTGTGCAGGGACTGGCAGTTGAATCTAATTGTAATGTGAACTTCCAGCAATGCCCCTAGTATAATGATGCTCTAGGGCAACTTTTCTTAAATGGTATTCTAGGGAACACCAGTGTTCCCTGAACAACTTGAACATATTTAAAAAGCTAGCCTTAAGATCCAAGAGAATATTTTTTGTGGGTTTGAGATCCATTCCATTTCACTCATCTCCAGCACAAAGAGAAGGTTTTGGCAGATTTGTCCTAAAATGTCACATTGAAATAAATTGTGTGTGAGGGGGAAGCATCACTAGAAGGTTTTTGAATGTGAATGTGAAATTTCAAGTGAAAAGGTAATGAAGGCTGTATTACCTTTTCCATATAACTTCGTGAAAATGAATTTCCAGTACTCAGTACAAACAAGACCAGATATTGAACTAGGCTTAGCATTATGCCAAGACTGGTATAATAAATTCAGTCTAGATATTGATGAAATGTACTATCATATATAAATTCATATATCCCGTTAACATTTTAATCTAGGTATTAAAATTAAGAGAAAGATTATCATTAAAACATGTTTTATTTCAGTATTATTCTTTCACTTCTATGTATGTGTGTTGTTAATTTTTTAAAAGAAAATATTTTGAGTTCTGTGGTCTTGAAAAATATTGCATTGTGGAAAATTCAGATAGCAAGTGTGCTTAGCTCCCAGTTATATTTGGAGCATCAGGTCAGATTTTTTAGGAGAGGGGACAGGATAAGACAGCATTGGTAGATTCTGCAGAGATGCCAATATTAGCAATGAATCCTAAAGATGTAATTAATCAGTGATCAGATAAAGACGCTTTAACCATCCTTTTATATATTTTATGGGAGTGCTATCTCAGGAACCAGACTCCTCAGCCAAGCCCTTGCTCACAATAAACTCTGATCAGGAAAGATGAAAGCCCCAATCAGAGATAAATATTAACTGATATTTGAACCCAAACTATAATTAAGCATTGCACTGGAAATTGAGAGTACCCGTAATTACCATATTTGGTTTTTCCCAGATTCCACATTATAAGTTTCATATGAATTCTGAGGCATAGGAAAGAGAAAATGCTAAGGAGGCCTCTAGAATGGAGACAACCACAGCTGTTAGCCATAGATTGGGCAAACTTCCTTGTGTACATTCTTCTGCTGCTTTTATCTTTCAAGTAATTTTACTCATTAGCTGTACATTCCGTAATCCTAGCTTTGTAGATCCAATTGTACAATATACGGTGAACCTTGTATCTTTTCTACTGATCAAGCAAAACACAGCAGAGTCAGGAGTTAGTTTTTCTGGTGCTTATCTTATTGAAGCCTCTAGAAGAACAGTCTCCAAAGTCTGCAAGCATTACAATATATCCAAGCATATCAAAGTAATCAGGCAACAATACTGGATCACAGGCATACTTAATCAATCAGTAATAACAAAAACTCAATACATTACAGACCTTGGATTTCTTTTGTTTCAGACTTGATAGGTTAGAATCTTGGTGACTCTTGGATCAGTTCTTTGATTCTCACTCTTATTCCTCACAATTTTTCTTACCCAGCTTACACAGCTGGAATATGAGATGCAGAGATAAATGTCTGTAACTTAGAGGTGGTGAAGAGTCACTAAATTTGTTTATACTTGTGATGAAGGTTGGAAATCACTGCTTTATATATTTCTTTTTTCTTTCCTTATTATATTCCTACTTTTTTCTTCTTTTTCTTTTTTCTTGAACTTGTTACTTCTTTCTATTCTCTTTTCTTTCTTTAAGTTTAGTTTGTATTAGATTTTACTATTATAATCAAATTTTATATATATGTATTTATACACACACACACACACACACAATTTTCTTCTTACACAGCTTCCTTTTCCTCCCTTAGGTGTTTGTGAAGGCCCACTTTGATTATGATCCAGTCACTGACAATCTCATTCCATGCAAGGAAGCTGGTCTGAAATTTGTAGCTGGAGATCTTCTTCAGATTGTCAACCAAGATGATCCCAACTGGTGGCAGGTATCAGCCTTGTGTCTGTTCAATGAACTATGTGTAATATGGGGACTTGATGTAAGGTTCAGCAAGGACAAAACTCAGTTAGAACTCCTTATAGCTCTGTCACTCGGCAGAACGAGGCCATTGACTAATATAGCAGATGCTTAGAGAGAATAGTGACAGCTTCTCAGTTATTCTTCCAGAACCCTTAGCCATGCCAATATCAGTACAGGACTGTTTAGCTTTCATCCGTAAACTAGCATACTCTTGTGCTAGTTGGGTCCTACCAGATGCTAGTTTATGTAGTATCTGTTCCTGGAATGGAAATGAAGAATCGGGAACAACGCATATTGTTTCAGGCAGCAAAACATTTTGGGCTCTCCCTGCTTATAACGGTTTACTAAAAGCTTAGCACTAAAGTTAACAAGCTTCAGTTCCAAGGAGCATAATCACAGCCTTCTTGTGCTAACCTCTTTCTGTAGTTGTATCAGGATTGGTGTTTCAATCCATCTTATTCGTGACAGAGCATTTTTGGTAGACAAGTGAGACAAATTCACAGTACACTGAAATCTGGATGGAATAGGATAGAACCAACCCATTCTCACTTGGTTAAACCCCTGTGGTTTCCACCACCTCCCAATTCTTGTGGTCAAGTGATAAAATTCCTGCCAATTGTCCTTCCTTCAAGATTCCCACTCTTATTTGTTAAGACATTTCTTCCCTGCTCATTACATCCTTTGAATTATTTAAATTTGGTGACTGTGGTTAGAAGTTTCTTCCAGCTTCTGCAGAGTTATTTATTGTGTATTTAGATATATATAATTTTGCTCAAATTTACTCTATTCTGGATTGTTATAATAGCTGGTAGAAGAGGTTAGCAATAGAATATAATATTAAAATGAAAATGGAGGAAAATATGAAGATGCTGCTGCTGCTGTTAAAAGCAGGGCTGGGGAAAAGATGTTCACATCAATACTTTCGACAGAGTTTGTTAAATGAGAGTTTGTACTTTTTGTTAAAAGTGGTCTCAAAAACCACAACACTATTGAAATCAAGTTTGTATTAAGGTTGGGTTGAATATTACATGTGCATATATTTTGTTTTATTCTTAAGACAGAATAAATTGAGGCCCCTAAAAGGAATACAAATTTGATATATTTTGAGACTGATGCATGTTGAATTCTGCCTACCTCTTGGTGCAACTCTTTGTTGTAATATTTAGAGTATCAGCCATTGCAGTGAGACCACTCTGTTCACATTAGACCAACCCCTTATTCTTTCTTTCCACGTGACCTAGATGCAGTGTGAAAATAAAGATGTGGGTTCATAGAGCTGGGCAAAAATTAGAAATATTCTCTTCCAAATTTATAACCATAGAAGGAGAAAGGGTAGCATAACATGTCTTGTTATGACAGTAGCCCCACTATTGAAAAAGTTCCATAGGAGCAGTTTTTTATGATGTCTTTCCTTGGAATTTAATGGAAACCTGGGGAGCCAATGCAAACCATTGGAGAGAGAACTGAGCAGGGAAAGATAGGCCACCTTGCAACTTAGTAAGTCCAAGCACACCACGCTCACCCTTGAGAATTTTACCAAAGTTTTTCTTAGCCGTAGAAGGGGTTTCTAAAGCAAATTCTCCATCAAACTAAATGAAAACTGGTAGGAAAAAATGCAAGAATTTCTCTGCCTGGCACTGCCTGTTTAAATGGAGGACATGCCCTTTTCAGGACCTACTTGACTCCTATTCCAGATGCTCAAACCACCCTTTGTTATTGCAGGCCTGCCATGTGGAAGGTGGCAGTGCAGGGCTGATCCCAAGCCAGCTGTTGGAAGAGAAGCGCAAGGCCTTTGTGAAGCGTGACCTTGAGGTCACACCATCATCAGGTAAAAGGCACAGATCCTGTAGGCAGCAGAATTGGAATAACTCAGGGCACATGGAAAACAAGATTCTCAATAATGTTGACACGAGCAATAGAAAATTAGTGCCACACATTCAGATTCCGAGATCAGGCTGCAAGCATTTGTGAATATCAAAGCGCGAAGAACATAAGAGACCTTATTGACTCAGGCCTAAGGCCTGTTTGATCAAGTGACCAACCAGATGCATCCTGAAAACTCACAAGCAGCATAATGAGGGCGATAGCATCTTCTACAGCTGCTGCCAGTAGTTGGAATTTAAGGCATACTACATTTCGTTCTGGTCTGGAGCTTGTATAGAGCAGTGTTGTCCAAACTTGGCCACTTTAAGATGAGTGGACTTCCACTCCCAGAATTCCCCCTGGCTGGCTGGGGGATTCTGTGAGTTGTAGTCCCCCCCTTTTAAAAGGGG